ATGCACACTCTCTCTCTAACAGCCACACCAACACATTCTGACTCAGATGCACCAACAAACTCTAACATTCAACAAACACAGATGCACACTTACTTCAACAAAATACTGTATGCATATTTTAATGAGCGATTGAGTCTCTGCTCCTTCACAGTGTCTCTGCTACCAATTGAACTTCCCTCATATCTACCCATACATGGTCCCTCTTTGAGAGTTTCACCAGCATGGCCAACCCACTGGGAATTACTCCGATCCCTCGACCTAAACTACAAATTACACCTAATGTGTTTTGAGTGCCAAAATGCCAACCAAACTGCTTCATTAACCCCTTAAGGACACATGATATGTCATGAGTCCCTTTTATTCCAGAAGTTTGGTCCTTAAGGGGTTAAACTAAAGTTATCATGATGCCTATAGTATCCCTTTAAATAAAAGATCTAGCACAATTTTCAAAGTTATCCTTTATTGTGGTGCCAAGTTGACTGGTAATGTGTGCTGAATGTTTTGTTTTATTACTTGGATAATACCACTGGCTGTGAGTGGAGCCGGGGTCCTTTTTATAATATTGCATAGTCCTAATTGTGAAATTCCTTGAACCGAGCTAATTCTCCACACAAATAAACTAAAATAGTGAATTTACTAGGAATTCCACAATACAGATTTGCCCCAAATCTCCACTTCCATGTAAATTGTTTATTTTAAACAATATAAACAACATACATTTTGTAAAAAGTAAGTGTTTTTTTAAAATTCATTTTCAGATCATCTCAATCAAGAATTTTTGATGTTAAAGGGACACTCCAGGCACCCTTACCACTTCTGCCCTTTGGAGTGGTCTGGGTGCCAACTCTCACTACCCTTAACCCTGCAAGTGTAATTATTGCAGTTTTTTTATAAACTGCAATAATTACCTTGCAGAGTTAACTCCACCTCCTGGTTCCTAGCACAGGAAACCTGTGCACTTCCTGGTTCCTAGCACAGGAAACCAGTTCTAGAGCGTCGCTGGACGTCCGCACACTGTGTGAGGACCTCCAGCGTCGCTCATTTTCCCATAGGAAAGCATTGAAATGCATTTTCAATGCTTTCCTATGGGGAGCGCTAATGCGCATGCGCGACACTGCCGCGCATGCGCATTAGGTCTCCCCAGCCGGTGGGCGGGATCAGTTTCGCCCACCGGCCGACGCAGTCAGAAGGAGGAGCGGCGCGGAGGGAGAAGCAGCGACGTGGGACATCATCGCTGCCTCAGGTAAATTACTGAAGGGATTTTCACCCCTTCAGCAACCTGGGATTGGGGGGTGGGAGGGAGAGGGAACCTGCAGTGCCAGGAAAACTGATTGTTTTCCTGGCACTGGAGTTTCCCTTTAATATAGAGTAAGTAAGTAAGTTACAGGGTAGGCTAATTTGTTTGATTTTGTGTCCTCGTTCATAATTATATAATGCCAGTTATAATTTGTTTAATGTTTATGCCATAGAAGAAATTAATTTGGTTTTGGAAACAGAAAATATAGAGTGTTATATAGAGAAAAATAAATAGTTTAGAAATTGAAATTATATAGAGAATATTAGATATACACGTTATCTTCAGAGTTGACTCTTTTCCTCTTCAAAAACCTCAAAGAAAAATGTAACCTCTTCTCAGCATACACAATGAGACGGCGCAGGGAATTCCAGCATCTTACAACCGAACTGAGACAAAGAGGGATACGCTATAGATGGGGATTCCCTACAAAAGTTCTCTTTAATATGGATGGTCCAAATTTCACAATTGCCACTCCGGAAGAAGGGTCGGATTTCATCAAAACTATCAACAGAAGGCAGACTCAATCCCGCACTATTTCACCATCAACCCCACAGCATGCTCATAAGAAGAGCAAGGCAAATGACACTTGAACATGGAAGGTCTTGGCTTACAAACTGCCAGGCTTTTTTCTTCACAACGTACTGGACGTACTTCCTCTGCTCTTAAAGAATTTGTTTTCATATTTCTAATTTCTCTCTTTTGTTTCTCTACCCAGCGCCAACTAACGTTTCTGCAAAATGATATTACTTTTATCCTAACACTGGGACAGGTTAAGGCAGTAGGTAACTCACTTTTGAGTTTTCTCAGTACCACGTCAGTCTACAGGAAATTATTTTCTTTTTTTTTTTTCTTCTCTCTTCTTGTTTAACCTGCCTTAACGATTATCTATTTCAGCAGAGACCTAGGTTTGGAAGGACTTGATTTATTTTTTATATATTTTTTATATATTCGATAATTTTTCAGTATAATTATAGTATTTTGGTTTTGATAGAAACATACATCGGTCCGCTGGTCTCAGGCAGCCTTACCTCCCCCCCAACCTGGGCCTAATACCCTGAGATGGAGAAATATTTTTTATTCTCCCTCATGGCCCTATTCTTATTTAAGGTTATTTTTTCTCCCCGTATAGGGGAATTTACCCAAGTTTATCACCCCTTATTTTTTTTTTTTATTCCATCCACTTTTTTTATACACTGTAAACAATTTAAGAAATTACCAGGTTCTGTCTTAATTGTTTTAGCAAATTTACTCTTGTTTAAACAAAAATATTTGTTGTTACGATTGTTGTATCTCATAACTCTCCTCTTGGGACGCGGTCCTTCTGGCTCCCACATTTCCATATACTCTCCTTTTAATGACCGTGCACTCTGATTTGAGTCATGGTCATTAAACTCATGTCATTTAATGTGAGGGGCCTTAACACCGCTCACAAGAGGCGTTTATTGTTTAAAGAAGTTAAATCCAACAAATCGGATATTGTATGTATTCAAGAGTCTCATCTTAAGGAAGGAAAAGAGTACAAATTTATGACACGGTTATTCCCATCCCAATTTCACTGCACTTACAAGTCTAAGTCTAGAGGTACTTCTATTTTTTTTAGTAGGAAGGTGGCCAGTTCTACAGATAAGATACTGATGGATGATGACGGGAGATACATACTGTGGATCAGTAAAGTTAACAATGTTTTATATACAATTGTCAATGTGTACTTTCCCAACACAGGTCAGCTAACTTTTTTTAGGAAAATAATGGAATTGGTGAATGAGAACTTGAAAGGGATTTTAGTGATGTGTGGAGATACGAATTTCGTTATGGATGGTGACTTAGATAATGCAAGGGAAAATCTAGACACACCCCGCACGAGAGACAGTGACAGACTAGCTGTGAAATGTTCGAAGTATATGGTTGAATGCGGATTGTATGACGCGTATCCAAGAACATGTATTACAGGCTAGACAGGTTCATGATACAGGGCACTCTCATATCACACATCTCAAGATCTGATATTTTAGATATTAATTGGTCTGACCATGCTCCTATAACTTTGCATATAGATGAAACGGTTTCTTCCTCCCCCAACAGACAGTGGAGACTGAGTGATTATTTGTTAGACGATCCTGAAAACAGATCGCTGGCTGAGGGGGTACTAAATGATTATTTTTTGGACAATGCTTCGCACGAGGTTCCTGGCGAGGTGATATGGAATGCGCACAAGGCTGTGATGAGGGGTCATTTCATTTCTAGGGCGTCTCACTTGAAGAAGAATAATAACAACAATTTAAGAAACTTGGAAAAAGAACTGTATAACTTAAATCAGGCTAATAAACTCGGTCCATCTTCTTCCATATCAGCAATGATAGGGGAGATTAAATCAAAAATACATAAAATAAATATAGATAGAACTACTCTCATGGTGAGACGCCTCAGGAAATTGTTTTATTTAAAAGGTAACAAGGCCTCAACTCTCCTAGCATCCAAACTCCGGCATGTAAATGCCCAATCAAAAATTTCACACTTAATAGATGACCAAGGACAAAAAATATTCCACCCGAATAAGATTAGCAATCAATTCGCAAAATATTATAGCGAACTTTACAATTTGAAATCTGACCTGAACCTCACCCAGCCATCTGAGGCGTCTATTAATAATTTCTTAGACAGGGTTTTGTTGCCTCAGCTGTCCTCTGATAACTTGGAAAAACTAGAGTGCGATATATCTGAAGCAGAGATAGCCGAGGCAATTAAGCGTATGCCGTCAGGAAAGGCTCCTGGACCTGATGGATTTACCATTTTATATTATAAGACTTTTGCAGAAATTTTAATTCCCCATATGTCCAAATTATTTAACTACTATAAGTCCGGGGGGAAGATACCGGGAGAATCTTTTTCCCCCCAGATTGTCACCTTGCCAAAACCAGGTAAAACCCCTGATAAATGTTCTAATTTTAGGCCCATATCCCTTATAAACAACGACATAAAATTGTATGCTAAGATATTAGCGAACCGTTTAACTAGTTTAATACCCCTATTGATCAAGAATGACCAGGTTGGATTTGTCCAAGGAAGACAGGCACCTGACGGAACCAGATGGTTCATAAACTTGATCCAGCATATTAATTCAACAAAAACTCCTTCTCTGCTCCTTTCATTGGATACAGAGAAGGCGTTCGACAGGGTACATTGGGGATACCTATGGAAGACATTGAGTAGATTCGATATCCCACAATCTTTCATCACTGCGATTAAGGCACTATACTGCGCACCCACAGCTCACATATCGGCCTCGGGTTTCCAATCAAGAACATTTTCCCTAATGGGACGCGTCAAGGTTGCCCCTTATCTCCGATTCTTTTTGTTCTGGTGATGGAACCCCTGGCCGAATTGATCAGGACAACCCCAGAAATATCAGGTATTTCTATCAAGGGATCCACCCACAAAATAGGGCTATTTGCAGATGATGTCATACTAGCACTTAAAAATCCAAAAGAATCTCTGGAATCTCTTAATACAGTTCTACTCCAGTTTGGAGAAGTGTCATATTACAAATTAAATATATATAAGACCCAGGCCCTGCCTTTTCATTTGCAAAAGTCTGACATGGATGAATTGAAAGCATTATATCTAGTGATGTCCCGAACGGTTCGACGAACGGTTCGCCACGGACTCATCATTGAGTAAACTTTGACCCTGTACCTCACAGTCAGCAGACACATTCCAGCCAATCAGCAGCAGACCCTCCCTCCCAGACCCTCCCACCTCCTGGACAGCATCCATTTTACATTCTTAGTGAGCTGTCCAGGAGGTGGGAGGGTCTGGGAGGGAGGGTCTGCTGCTGATTGGCTGGAATGTGTCTGCTGACTGTGAGGTACAGGGTCAAAGTTTACTCAATGATGAGTCCGTGGCGAACCGTTCGTGGCAAACCGTTCGGCGAACCATTCGGGACATCACTAATTATATCCGTTCGACTGAAGGAAGGATTATTTGAAATATTTGGGTATTAATTTATGCAAACATTTACCTAATATGCATACTCATAACTTGAAGGGAGCATGGCCAGACCTACAAAGGGAGATGGAGAGATGGGGTGGCATGGAATTGTCGTGGTTAGGAAGAATTGCCTCCATAAAAATGTCGATCCTACCAAAAATCCTGTATTACTTCAGAACTATCCCTTTATCTGTTCCAATGTCCTTTTTTAACAAAGTGCACTCAATAATGCTTAAATTTATCTGGAACAATAAACTCAATAGAATTAAGCCTACATCCCTGCAGCACCAAAAAATCCACGGGGGCATTGGTGTCCCAAATTTTTGAAAATACTATTTTGCTACTAATGCTGCAGTGGTTGTAAGCTTTAACAACCAAAAAAACAGGCCAAGATGGATGGAGATGGAGGAATCCAGCATTCTCCCCTATCAAATCGGGGAACTACCTGGCTAAACCCTTCAAGGAGACCTGGCGTATCAAAAATGTTTTTGACTACTAGGACCACACTTAAAGCCTGGGATTTAGTATTCAAAAACAATTGTCACTTGATAAAATTATATAGAGCCATGCCAACTGATTCTTTAAAATATTACATCCCAACCTTAGACTTAGCATTGCTTAAAGGACACCAACTGCATCATATAGACAATTTTTTCCATGGTAACTCTATTCTGTCTAATGGAAAACTAAAATTTAAGCATAGTCTGCCGATCGAATGCAAGGTTGAATGTGAGTTAGTGATTGAAAAATTGAAAGAGATATACAAAATTCCAGAACTTGATAAAAATTACAAAGCACTGACTATATCTCCATTAGAAAAGCTATTTTTAAATGACCCAAATAGGAAAGGCATTATATCTATCTGCTATATGTTACACAATGATAAACCATCTACCAAACTGAAACATATGTTGTCTTGGGAGACGGAGTTGGGTACTCAATATAAGTTGGAAGAATGGTTTAATTTTTTTTCAGCACTGAAGGACTTATCTTTCTGCTCCAATCATCACGAAAATCATTTTAAAATTCTGTATAGATGGTATCTATCTCCGTCCAGACTACACAATATGAATAATAGGTACAGTGATAGGTGTTGGAGATACTGCAGGGGATTGGGCAATATGGTCCACATATGGTGGTATTGCCCAAGACTAACTAAATACTGGAAATCGATACACGACTTATTTGTTAAAGTGAACAGGAATATAAACAATTTCACATCTGAACTAGCTCTATTTAAAAAATTCCCTGAATCCATCAGTAGAATCGATAGGATTATAGCAGGCCATATACTGATAGCTGCCACCACATGTCTACCTAGATATTGGAAGTCTAAACATACACCCTCTATCAAGGAAATACTGACACTAACATTAGAAAACAAAACATACGAACTATCACATAGAAATAACACATACATTTTTGCACAATTAAAACACCACTGGGATCAATGGGAAACCGATGTAAAAAAAACACATAACCTGTAAAAACTTGTAATGTCGTGTTATTCAACTCAAGTGCCTTGTACTTTAACATATTTACTGTTATAATGGATGGATATCCCCCCCTTTCCCCCCCTATCTCCCAGTTTTCACCCTTCCTTTCCCTTCCCTAATATATTGTTCTTTATTATTTGTAAATTCTGCAAAAAAAATTGTAAAATGTAACCTTCCAATTACCTGTTGTATATTATACGTGTATATATAAAGTATAACTCTATGGTAATTGGAAATATAACACTTATATGAGATTTTCAAAGGTGAAATTAACAAATCAAGAGTACTTTAAGTGAAGTATTGTTGTCAAGTCAACCACTTTGCTGGTAATTCTGATAATATAGCAGTTGCCTCTTCCATGTTTCAAATCACCTCCAATCAGTCAACTCAAAGATCACACAGTGATCATAGATGTCTCTACCTATAGATGGAGTTTTCTGTCTGATTTGGATGAGTCCTCATCTAGGCCTCTGGTGGTTGGATTACTCAACTTAAGGGGCTCTCTGTACTCAAGTGTTTATTTTATGAAGAGGTTCTGGGATGTACTAACTTTAAATTTGAACACTTTTCTTTAAAGGGTTTCTCCTTTTATGTGTGATATAGAATAATGCCCTATTGTCATTATTCTATATGTGTTGGTTGGTACCAACCAACCAAGCAGGTTTCGAGTAATGCTACAATTTAGCTATATCTTGGATAGGCTAATTTAAGTTATATATATATTATTATATTGTATAGGTGAATAAATATAAATTAATGTCTGACTTCAGTTAGACATAAGTTATTTATTCAACTATACAAGATGATACTGGATTATTTATTAGTCTGAGTATACAGGGTCAGATTAAGAGCCCATTGGGCCTGGTGATGACAATTATGATGGGCCTAATTACAGAATATTATCGACAGAAAACACTAAAACAATTATACCTCCCAAACATGTATCTAGTGGAGGTGGTGCTGGAGGGAAACTCACAGGATATAGCTATCAGAAAACACAAATCCTATGCTAATCTCTCACTTTCATCTTTCAAGTAAATCCATACCTCCTAGCAGCAGTGTCCAGTGAAGTAGGATTTTGGTGAGCGGGGTAAAAGGTTTCTGGTGTTAGCATTGGGTGGCTTAGTAGAGGAGGGACGAGGGTTTAGAGAGACATCACCAGCTGCCAGGAGTAGTAGGTTGGAAAGTAAGAGAAGGTCGGAGTAAGATTTAAATGTTTGGGATAAGAGCTTGTATTAAGTAGACATGTGCAATTAGTTTCGGGTCCGAATTTAAATTCGGACTAATTTCGGCAATTCGGACATTTGGATGCAGAATTTCCGAAGTTCCGAACCAAAAAGCCGAATTTCCGAAGTGCCAAAGTGCTTAGGATTTTTGAAAAGTGGCAAAACAGGAGAGGGAGTTAAAATTAAGTGAATGATCACAGGAATCTAACCCTAGCCCTAACCCTTACCCCAACCTTCCCTAACCCTACCACTAACCCTACCCCTACCCTAGTAGGGTTAAGGGTAGAGTTAGGGGTAGAGGTAGGGTTAGGGAAGTGACGAAGTCTCAAAGTGCCGAATTCCCGAATTCTGGAAGTGCCGAACCAAACCGAATTGTTTTGCCCATGCACACATTGTGAAGAAAGGCTTGATAAATATGAGTAAAGTGCATGTGATGAATACAGAGATGAGGGAAGTAGAGAGGGATTAATTAAGATGGTGTCAGCAGGAACAGATAAGTAAAAGGATAGAGCGATTTTAATAAATCTGGATTGCAAAGATAAATATTACATTGACTAACATGCCATTGCTGGAAGAGTTAATGTGAGACTGACTAGCATTCCATCACTGAAAGGGTTAACGTACAATTCTGGTATCTTGTACTTTCCCATGGATTTACTTGCAGTGACCCAAGGGGTAGCAATATTATTCCATCATCCTATTTCCTGCAGTGACCATGGCGTAGCAAGCTGGGCGTGCCCAATTCAGAGCATATTTAACCCCTTCTACCCTTCTTCAATTTCATCTGAATGGTAAGAGATTCCTGCTAATTTTAATGTCAATCAAATGTATTCCTAGGCTTCTGTGTCTTTTAAGATAGCCACTGGATTCAATTAGTCCTAGGCCTCTGATATGCCTTTTAATACAGCCGCTGGATTCATTTATTCCTAGGCCTCTGTTATGCCTTTTCATTTTTTTTTTTTATTAATATATTTTCTTTATTTACAAAAAAAGTACATGACATACATGACAATATTGGAATACATGTTTTTTGTTAATAAATTACATATATAGTATTATAATCGCAATAACAAAAACAAATAACAATGAACATCCCTGAAAGATAGCAGGTGGGTCACTTTCTTTTCAACTAAAAGGTCCTATTACTTATATTAGTGTATGCGCATTATGGGGGGGTCAACATTTTAATCCAATATAACCACATTTGAACTGTTTTTGAATTCCAGTTCTCTGTTCTTGCACATCCCAACTCTATTTTGCATTGCCAGATAATCTGATCATACAATCCGACACATTGAGGTAAATTACCAGATTTCCAATTCCTAGCTACCAATAATTTTGCTAGGGATGTGCATGGGCAAAAAATTCAGTTCAGTTCGGCACTTATGTCCGAATTGCCAAAAATCATTCGAATTTACATTCAGAACAAAACGAATTGCACATGTCTAAATTTTGCTGCTGTAAAGATGTAATGAATATAGGAATAACATCTTTGTGCACAACATTAAAGGATCACTATAGGGTCAGGAACACAAACATGTATTCCTGACCCTATAGTGTTAACACCACACCCCCCTGGGTCCCTCATGCCTCCATAAATATAGCAAAATCTTACTATATCCAAGCCTGAAGCTGTAACTCTGCATGCTGTTAGACTCAGAAAAACAAGCAGACTGCTGACATCCACAGAAGTGGTAGCCTGATCCAATCACAATGCTACCCCATAGGATTGGCTGAGACTGACAAAGAGGCAGATCAGGGGCAGAGCCAGCATAATTCAAACATAGCCCTGGCCAATCAGCATCTCCTCATAGAGATTAATTGAATTAATGAATCTCTATGAGGAAAGTTCAGTGTCTGCATGCAGAGGGAGGAGATAATGAATGTTTGGATGCATTTTAGGCAGCCATGACCCAGGAAGGATCTCTAACAGCTATCTGAGGAGTGGCCAGTGAAGTTATCACTAGGCTGTAATGTAAAGACTGCATTTTCTCTGAAAAGACAGTGTTTACAGCAATGATTCTACTCACCAGAACAAATTCAATAAGCTGTAGTTGTTCTGATGACTATAGTGTCCCTTTGATATTTAAATGTAGCAATGCTACTGTGACTAGAGCAATCTCGCCACATTGCTTTGGAGAAGCC